GGATCCTCGGTCTCAAATTCAAATATGAGTTACGGTGAGAAGTTAGTTCATGGTTGCGTTAGCTCTCTTTATGGTTTTCTCGCGCGGATATTGCCAATCGATTCCAGCAATTAAAATTCACCTAGCTTGATATATAGACTTGATTTCAGATAGTGATGTCGATCAAAAAGATTTACGAATGACGCGTTCTTTTATTAGCAAACGATCTGCGGAGCGCTTTTCTTTTGTGTGGAGTAGTAGTGTCTCTTTTAAGAGACCAACAATAGTCTGACATCATGTTCACATCCCAATAGCCTTGATATCTTCTTTCGATATCTTTGAAGTCTTGGTGGAATCTCTCTCCTTGCTCCTCGCTAAAGTCTCCTAAATTTTCAGGAAAGTAATCAAGATGAGAATGAAGAAAATGAATTTTCAAATTCATCAAGCAACCCATTATTTTGTAATTACCCAACATCTCATTTACTATATCTTCGTAATCGTCGTCTTTATTATTTCCTAAAAATTTATGCTGAACTTCTCTAAAGCTTTGCCACGCGTTGCGTTCCTTTATCGTCATTCTTCTTTCAAATTCTTCATCTCGTAATAGTCCTCTTATTTGTGGACCATCAAAGACTCCTTCGTTGATCTTTGCTTCCGAAAGTTTTGGAAATTTCTCGAAGAGATACATAAAAGCGTTGCTTTCGTCTTGTGAATTTTTCATTGCTTTAATGAACTGTTTGACCAAACCAAGCTTAATATGCAAGGGTGGGAGGATGACTTTATTTGCAGGTATAAGACTTTCGTGTAAAACATTTTTATTACCTGGGGTCAAATTTTGTCGAAGTGGCCATTCTTTTCTCACATAGTGTTGATCTCGGGCACGGCTATCCCATTCACAAATGAAACATGGATATTTCGTGAAGCCACTTTGTTGACCCAACAAAATTGTTGTTATTTTCAAATCTCCAACCAACTGCCACCCGTGAGTATCATAATGCAATTTCTGTAGCAGTAAATCGAGATTACTATATTCCTCTTTCAAGACAATGGAATGACCAATTGGTATAGGGGCGTATATGTTACCGTTATGGAGTAAAACTGCTTTCAAGCTTCTCGTAGAAGAATCAATAAACAGACGCCAATCAATAGCTTCATACTCTACGTTTCCAAATTCATTTATCAGTCCTGCAACGTCGTTGCAATAAACTAAATCGCATTCTTTCGAAAAAAATTTTCTAAATTGTTGATCACGATTTCGGTAAAATGTGATGGAAGTACCAGGAGCCAGACAATTTTTTTCTTTCAATCTAGATGCTAATAGTTCCGAAAGTTCTTTTGAAAGTCCTGTGTCTCGAACTAAATCACTCAGCTCTTCTTGATTAAACCCATTAAATGTCTGGTCTTGCTCATCATCTTCTGTATCTTCCATTTTATCAGTGCAACCTCTTCTATTGTCTTGAAAGAGGAATATAGTAATCTCGATTTACTGCTACAGAAATTGCATTATGATACTCACGGGTGGCAGTTGGTTGGAGATTTGAAAATAACAACAATTTTGTTGGGTCAACAAAGTGGCTTCACGAAATATCCATGTTTCATTTGTGAATGGGATAGCCGTGCCCGAGATCAACACTATGAGAGAAAAGAATGGCCACTTCGACAAAATTTGACCCCAGGTAATAAAAATGTTTTACACGAAAGTCTTATACCTGCAAATAAAGTCATCCTCCCACCCTTGCATATTAAGCTTGGTTTGGTCAAACAGTTCATTAAAGCAATGAAAAATTCACAAGACGAAAGCAACGCTTTTATGTATCTCTTCGAGAAATTTCCAAAACTTTCGGAAGCAAAGATCAACGAAGGAGTCTTTGATGGTCCACAGATAAGAGAACTATTACGAGATGAAGAATTTGAAAGAAGAATGACGATAAAGGAACGCAACGCGTGGCAAAGCTTTAGAGAAGTTCAGCATAAATTTTTAGGAAATAATAAAGACGACGATTACGAAGATATAGTAAATGAGATGTTGGGTAATTACAAAATAATGGGTTGCTTGATGAATTTGAAAATTCATTTTCTTCATTCTCATCTTGATTACTTTCCTGAAAATTTAGGAGACTTTAGCGAGGAGCAAGGAGAGAGATTCCACCAAGACTTCAAAGACATCGAAAGAAGATATCAAGGCTATTGGGATGTGAACATGATGTCAGACTATTGTTGGTCTCTTAAAAGAGACACTACTACTCCACACAAAAGAAAAGCGCTCCGCAGATCGTTTGCTAATAAAAGAACGCGTCATTCGTAAATCTTTTTGATCGACATCACTATCTGAAATCAAGTCTATATATCAAGCTAGGTGAATTTTAATTGCTGGAATCGATTGGCAATATCCGCGCGAGAAAACCATAAAGAGAGCTAACGCAACCATGAACTAACTTCTCACCGTAACTCATATTTGAATTTGAGACCGAGGATCCTCAGATTTTGATTTAGCGCGTCGAAATACCTAAAGATACGTGACCAAATTATAGTTAAAAATCTGTAGTGTAATGATGTATATGGAATACATGAATTTTATCGATCGGTGAGTCATTTGACCCTCAGATGACCTTGGAGGGTCATGTTGGAAAAAATAGAAAATACATATTTGGACGTAAAATTTCCCGCTCTTTCCGAATCCGTGGTCAGATTTTATGTTTTTCCGTAGTAAATGCGTTTGACCTTCAAATGTCCTTGAACACGACGTGCTGGGGTTATGTGGACCTCGGATTTGGATTCAGCGCATCGAGAAACCTAAAGATACCTGACTCATTTGTACGCATGTCTTTAGTTGTGATGATGTATGTGGGAAATACGAATTTGATCTATCGGTGAGTCATTTGATCCTCAGATGACTTTGGAGGGTCATGTTGGAAAAAATAGAAAATACATATTTGGACGTAAAATTTCCCGCTCTTTCCGAATCCGTGGTCAGATTTTATGTTTTCCCGTAGTAAATGCGTTTGACCTTCAAATGTCTTTGAACACGACGTGCTGGGGTTATGTGGACCTCGGATTTGGAATCAGCGCTTCGAAATACATATAGGGTATCAATTTTGCCGAAGGACTTTTTCCGGTTCCCATTTGTGGTCCTGTGTAATTTATAGCTTTCTAATTATAAATTTTTGAAATTTAAGAAATGTAGTTTATGGAGTGGTTTTTTAATATAAGTAACGATTATTATAACTGAGTGCTTTTGTTTAGAAATATATGCTTTACTGCTGTATTATACTTTGATAATAAAAGGTTCAGAAAGTCTTGATGACGTTTGAGAATGCAACTAATCTTATTATTCATTTGTCAATTATTTGCAAATAAATTAGATGTCTTAGCCTCATATTATTTCAGTCAAGTAATATTATTGCAGTCAGTTGATTCAACGATTTACTGCAGCTATAGTTAGTTCCAGTCTATCGCTCGCTATAGATCGCTTGCTTAATACATGCAAATTTATCGTGGTAAACTCATTTTTATTTATCTAACGATGATAAAATAATAAAAAGTATTGAAGTAGTTGAATAATAACTAATTTATTAGAAAAAAAATATTTACCTTTTGAAAAATATATAGAGAAAAAAATGATCGATGTGGATTCGAACTGACATCCCCAAGTATGCGTAGCAAAAAGACACACACCTTAGACCTCACTTTATTTATTTCAGGCAATTGTTTATTTGAGATAATTTTTGTATTGCTTGACCTTAGCTAGCTTATCAATTTTTCGCTGGGAATCAGTGTAACAAATAATCAGCTAGCTCGCTCGATAATCTCGGTTTTCTTCTCGAGTTATCGTATGTTTAAGACGTTGTAATAATGAAATAAGTTATCAAGTATCTGCATAAAATTGGATTACATTTCCAGTGCCATTAATGATGATTTTGAATTTTATTAATTTATGTACGTAATTTGCAGTATTACTCACTAGGTTGCGTACAGATGGAGTAGTTGAGCATGCTAAAACTACAGTCAAGCAAAGTGACTGATGTCATCGTCTCACGTGACTCGATTAGAAAGAGACAGCAGTCCTCAAATTCTTCGCTCTTTCTCGCTCTAAACAGGAGCGTCTACGAAACATGGTAACATACGGTCTAGACTTTATATGTCTATGTTTTCCGCCCCTCCCAAATTTAGCTAGATAGACATAGTTTCAAAAGTGCTAGCTTATTGTGCCTCAACAAAATTTTATGCACAACAAAGCATACCTTCAGCAATAACTCTTCCAAGCTTTTTGTCAATGCTTTGCCAGCTCCCGAGCGAGCTTGCTGCAAAGACGCCACAAAAACTTGATAGAGCGACCACTGTAGAAAGGCAATTAACGGACATCGACATAAATGTCGATCTTTTTAGTAATACACAGTTTTTTGTTGAGATCTGTGCGTGGATATCATAATACCTTGTTTTGTGGCGGGATTTTATATTATACGTATAATGGTTTCACGTGTATTAGTTAGCTTCGCGAGTTCGGTTTCTTTGTTGTGATTAAATGAATCTCTCTCTGTTATTTGTATATTTCTTGATTGCACAAAATATATATATTGTCTTAATAACTGCAAGTAACTTCATTTAACGTTACTAACCCTGCATATGATTTACCTCTAGTTGTATAATTGCGCATAACTTAGTCTAAGCTTAATCTTTTCAACCAGTGATAAAATACAAATATGACAAGATCGAGACGACGGTTCATAACACAAAAAAAATCAGTAAATAGTCGACGGAAATTAAAAGAAAATTTTTCTTGTTATATTGAATGTACATACCACCACCGTAATTATTATTATATTTTTCATAATCATTTGTGTTCGCTATTGATTCCACTGTTGAATTAGATTATAAAATAAATTTGTAGAATAAAAGAAATTTTTTTACTTAATATGTATTGTAGTTTAAATTGTTTGCACAATTTAATAAAAACATCAACTATGTATATTATATAAATATAATGTAGTAAAAATCTAACATTTACATGCTTATATTAATAGACTTCATAATACAGCTAAACGGGAATTTTCGCATTCGTCGGTAATTATTAACATATTTACATGAATATATTTACCTATATTTTTCAAATAAGGCATACTTTTCATTGCTTAAGATTCTAATTACAAAAATTAATCTAATTACAAATGATAGTCCTCTGTAGTCCTGTCGAAATGTATTGCTCTATAACATTTACTTCTAATGCAATATTCCAAACAATCTAAATTGTAAATATTAATTTTGATATATATCATAATTATTATCGATGCCTCCATGGACGTTCTTAGTTTCGTGCATAATTTAAATTCTATGAAAAACGGAATATTTATACAAGCTCACTTTTTGAAATATACAAAAACATTGTTAAATTTAGCGCTTCTAATTACGTAACTATTTTAAGTTTTCTTTCATATCTTGAAGGACGAATGGTATGCCGTTGAACACTGGATTCGGTGGTACTGCTATATAGAATTTACGTTTTTGTTTTTATTATAATAATTTACTATTTCGAACACATCATTTGTTTTCTTCTTGACAGAAATATGATTTTTCACAAGTCTTTTGGTACGTGTATAAAAGATACTTGGCCCATATCTGAATATTTATCCACGTACAAAGAACTTATATTATAATCAGGTACGTCGTAAAGAGTTGATACTGTACCGAAAACTTTTCTGTACAAACGCACTCATGGAGTCTAATTCTGAAAACAAAAAAAAATTATCATTAGAAGCTTATTTTTTTATATTGGACGAAGTTTATTTACAATCTGTCTTATATATTAATACACTAAGTATATGTTATTACTATATGAAATATGGAATTGACATTAGAGAGAATACTCCATACGAATACGAATAAGAATCATAGGGTTCAATGTTACTAAAACTTTCGATTAAAATCTTTCCAGGATTTTAATATTCTAGTTTGAAGTTAGAAGCTTATAACGAAAAAAATTAATTTTAATAACTATATATTACTAATAAGAGATACCGCGTCTAAGACTAATAGATTTTGTTCAAATTTAGTTTTCATTTTTATAGAAATAGAACATTTTCTAACTATTCTATCTTATGACGTTTTGTTCAGATATAATTTGCACCTTCTATCTTGTATATAAAAAAATATAGGAGTCATAATAACTAAGTAAGTAATAGCTATTGTAATTTCAGTCCTATTTAAGAGAAAGCTAAGATTAAATCTTTCTATTTGTCAAAAGTTGTTAAAAAATACCAATCTCATTACAAGTGTCAATTAGGATTTTTTATTCAAGACAAAAATCAAAATTTTTAAATGTTTTTCCAAAAAAGTGCTAAATTATAATTAAAATAAAAATTTCGATCGTAATATAAATTATAGATAAATAGGAAATTCGTTTAATCAAAAGTATCCAGTTTCCATTTTTATAGTTTAATACACACACGTACCCAAGCGTACATAAACAGGCATATACGAGGTGTGATCAAAAAGTAAGGTGAATTTTTATTTTTCTCAAAAAATATTTATTTATTCATCAATTTTTATTTTATCTCCTTCAAAGTAATCCCCCTCGGATATAATGCACTTGTGCCAACGCTTTTTCCAATCCACAAAGCATTTAAAAAAATCATTTTTTGTGATCTTGTTTAGTTCATCCTTCGATGCCGTCTTTATCTCCTCAATCGTGGCAAAACGCCGTCCTTTCATGGGCCTCTTCAGTTTTGGGAACAAGAAGAAGTCACAGAGGGGCCAGATCTGGGGAATACGGTGCCTGTGGCATCGTTACTGTGTTGGTTTTAGCCAAAAATTCGCGCACAAGCAACGATGTGTGAGCAGGGGCATTATCATGGTGCAAAAGCCAATTTTTATTTTTCCACAAATTCGTACGTTTCTGGCGGATTGCTTCGCGCAAATTGCGCATAACTTGCAGGTAATTTACTGTTCTACCCTGTGGCAAGAACTCATGATGCACCACGCCCCTGCAGTCAAAGAAAACTGTAAGCAAAACCTTTACATTTGATCGAACTTGGCGTGCTTTTTTTGGTCTTGGTGATCCAGAATGCCTCCACTGGGACGATTGAGTCTTAGTCTCGACGTCATAACCGTATACCCATGTTTCGTCACCTGTTATAACCCTGTTGAGTAAATCTGGATCATCGTTGACGTCATTTAGTAGCTCTTGGGCGATGCTCATGCGACGTTTCTTTTGGTCGAAATTGAGCAATTTCGGAACAAACTTCGCTGACACACGTCTTATGTCTAAAACACTCGTCAAAATTGATTGGCACGAACCAAATGAGATGCCAATATCATCAGCAATTTCTCTAATGGTAATTCGACGATTTCCCAACACTATTTTCTTCACTTCTTCAACATTCTCATCAGTTGTTGATGTGCTGGGGCGTCCAGAACGAGGTTCGTCGTCGGTGTCTTCTCGGCCTTCTTGGAAGAGTTTATACCACTTGTAAACATTTTTTTGGCTTAAAGTAGACTCACCGTATGCCACTTTCAGCATTTCAAGTGTTTTGGAACATTTGATTCCATTTTTCACACAAAATTTAATGCAAACTCTTTGATCCATGTTTTTAGACAGCAGAAAATCGTGGAGCACGCAAAACATTTCTAACCTTGATGCCTCTCACAAACAAACCAAACATACTACAAAGCTGAAATTTGGAACGTATGTTCTAGACGAGTGTACCGACATAACCAAAAAAAAATTCGAAGATCGAACGGACGTAGCCCGCTAAATTTCAAAATTCACCTTACTTTTTGATCACACCTCGTATACACCTGGGCAAATCCGCATGAAGTCACTAGATGAAAATGTTTTTAACGAAAATATGTTACTCTAGTTTTTATACATGTATATAACATTATATCTTAAAAATAAAAATTGCATTTTTAGAAGAAATTTAAAATAGCGATTTTTTGTGTTTTTGTAAAAATTCCCATTGTTAAGCTCATTTTAACTTATAAAGGTCATATCTTAGGTATAAACAAATATATCTAGTTTTACTCTAGATGACAGATATATCATTAGTCTTTTTTAAATATACAACATGAAATAAATCTTTATGTAAATACAACAAAGTTCAGAACAAGTATCTAACATCTGTAATAGGTAAGATATATTATTTCCTTTCTCAAGAGATTGGTATGTACTCTTTCAGCTAACAGTGTTTGAAGGAATAGAGCGCACTTTTAACATCCAGTGATATCCACTTTTGATATAAGGTAATATTTTCCTTGGATGGGTAGTTCAAAAAGAACTTCTAAGACTCTCTGCTATAATTTTGGTAAGATATGATGGGTGAATATTCTTGACAAAATTCGTGTCGGTCAGAAAAGATTCTCTTGTTTTTCTTTTTCTTATCATTCATCTTTTTCTTCGATTGCCCGTATCAATTCATTAAGAATTAGTCTCTTAAAAAGTTTATTGAGTCAATTATATCCGGCAGTCTATATTATGATGGGTTGGCCTATCTGATATACCCATTGCTATCAAAATCAGCTTGCTGTAAAGCTACTTTGCTTTTGGTCGGAAAAAACTTTCAATTAAAAAGTAACATTTGAAGTTTTTTAGCGCCATCAATTGCAAAATCTCATTAGGGATGCAACTGACTCCAGAGCTTTTCTAAGTGCTCAGTTTACTCTCTGCGGTCTTCAGAAGTCAAGGGATAGGAGTTCTCCTAATCGTCTACTTACTTCATTTAAGAAGCTGGTATGAGGTTATCGTGATAAAAATAATACTTATACAATTTTTTGTAGATTTAGTTCATCATTTTGTGTACGTACTCCACTTGTTTTGCATCGTTTGCCTACTACACAGGTCGATCTCCAAAAAAAAAAGACATAAATACGATTATATATTTCTGAAAGTATTCGATTAATGAATCCGAATCTGGTTTTAGAATTGATTCATCACCTACGGTTTTCGAGATTAAGATTCGAGATTCTACACTGAGAAAAATAAACTTATATAATTTATTATATTTGTGGTAAAAATTGCTATAAAATATGCAACGGTAGTCGATTTGATTAATCGATTCGTTCGCGATTCGGTAATACCCGCGACATTAGAGCGAACGACTAAGAGAGAGAGAGAGGGCGCGCGAGATTTTAAAAGTTTCAATTAAGCCTCAGCTGATTTCGCGATAGTATCGCCGTGTTTAGTATTTGTACTGTGTTTCCCCGTTATAAATTACAAGTTTCCTGGGACTATTTCATACGTGCGTGAGTACAGCAATAAAGCAGTAGCAGCAGCATTAAAGCAGCAGCAAGCAGCAGCAGAATTTTGATGCGAGGCAGCGCAGCTGATTAGAGGAGCATCGACCGTTGATTTTCTTCAACAACAATTACGGCTGATCACCGTAATTGCACCGCAGGGTATGTGCACCTCACTTTATTATTGCGCGACAAAATACTTTCGAAAGTATTTTGTCAATCGTGAGCGTAATTTTTGTATTCGCGCCGAGCGTTAGATTTCGCGGCAACTTTCGAGTTATCTCTCTCTCTCTCCCATCGAATTATAATTTATAATTATGAATCCTATTCGCGTGCGTTAGTCTTTCGGCCCATAAAAGACTTGTAATTTTTATTGATTAAACTTTGTTAATTTTATTCGCCGTTTACGTCATTTCGTTTCCTATTAGCTTAATAGATCTATAAAGGCTTAATCCTAAGTCCTAATCCGATTTCGTCTAGGGGATTAGGCAGATTAGGCATTAAGTCATTCATACTGAAGATAGATCGAGTGTCACAAGTCAAGTGACTTAAGATGAGTTCAACTCGGTTGGAAAGAAGACACTGAAACGAAATCAGCAAACGTAAAGGCGGTTACACGTATAACTATACATGCTTAACGGAGCGGCGGGTAACTCTGCATCGTGGGAGTTTGTGCGTTAATAAATTTCTCATTTTGTAGGATAACCACCCCGTTACAAATATTAGAAAAGTAGGATATACTCATTTTATAGTAAAAATTACTGTTATGTGGTAAAGTTAAAAATTACAAATTTCACTCTCGAACATAGTAAAATTTAACTGTTTTTATAATTAATTTTGATATTTGACTGATTAAAATTTACTATTCATACAATAAAATTTGTTATTTGACATCATAACATTTATATTATGTTGCAATAAATTTTATTCTTTGGATTTTAGGAATTTTTTAATTCAATGCAGTAAAAATTAAATAAATTAAAGTTAAATATTAAATAGGATTATTGTAATTTTTGTAACGGTTCGAAAATCAAAAAAAAAAATTTTAATATTTTATCTTAGGTCGTTAATAATTGGAATATACATTCACACACACATGGACACACACATATTCCAGTTATAACGACGATATTGAATGAAGTAAAAATCAAATTATATAGCTAGATTATATAGTATAGTAGATATCTATATTTAACCTAACATTCGCAGATTGTATTAACTTATAAGTTGCTTCGCACGCATTTTTACATATACGTATGTTCAGAAACTCTTCTTATATTCAGAATATCCTCTATTAAGTAGCCATTTTTTTTGTCACTTGTAAGATGGAAGATGCAATCTACATTCAAGAACTTTAATGATAATAGCGTAACTAACGCGGTATAATGGTATCACGCGCGCACTTTAGTTTTCTTAGTACTAAACAGAGCTATATTATGTTGCTTTTTTTACTATTTGAAATAGTAAATTTTGATAGGATTTGGTTACAGTTTCAGA